ATACCAGATTTCAAGACATACTACAGGGCAGTTATAATCAAAACAGCATGGTACTGGCACAAAAACAGATGGAGAAACCAATGGAACAGGACAGAAACACCAGAAATCAATCCAAACATCTACAACCAACTTATATTTGATCAAGGATCTAAAACCAATTCCTGGAGCAAGGACAGTCTGTTCAACAAATGGTGCTGGGAAACCTGGTTTTCCACATGCAGAAGTATGAAGCAAGACCCCTACCTTACACCTTACATAAAAATCCTCTCAACATGGATTAAAGATCTAAATCTATGACCCAACACCATCAATTTTTTAGAGAACATTGGAGAAACCCTGCAAGATATAGGCGTAGGTGAAGACTTCTTGGAAAGCCCCCAGAGGCACAGGCAGTCAAAGCCAAAATTAACATTTGGGATTGCATCAAATTGAGACGTTTCTGTACTGCAAAAGAAACAGGAAAGTGAAGAGGCAACCAATAGAATGGGAAAAAATATTTGCAAATTATGGAACTGATAAAGGGCTAATAATCAGAATCAACAAAGAGATCAAGAAACTCCACAAAAACGAAACAAACAACCCACTTAAGAGATGGGCTAAGGACCTAAATAGACATTTTTACAAAGAGGAAATCCAAACAGCCAACAGACACATGAAAAAATGTTCAGGATCACTAGCCATCAGGGAAATGCAAATCAACACCACAATGAAGTTTCACCTCATTCTGGTTAGAATGGCTTACATACAGAAATCAGTTAACAACAGATGCTGGTGAGGATGTGGAAGAAAAGGCACACTTATCCACTGTTGGTGGGAATGCAAACTGGTAAAGCTACTATGGAAGAGAGTTTGCAGGTTCCTCAGAAACCTGAATATAGCCCTACAACATGGTCCAGCCATACCACTCTTTGGAATTTACCCAAAGGAAATTAAATTGGCAAATAAAAGAGCTATCTGCCCCTAAGTGTTTATTGCAGCTCAATTCACAATAGCTAAGACATGGAATCAACCTAAATGTCCATCAACAGAAGACTGGATAAAGAATTATGGGATATGTACTCTATAGAATACTACACAGCAGTAAAAAAATGAAATATGGTCATTAGCAACAATATGGAGGAATCTGGAAAACATCATGCTGAGTGAAATTAGCCAGTACCAAAGGGACAAATTTCATTTATTCTCCCTGATCTGTGACAACTAACTGGGCACCTGAAATGAAACCTGTAGAAGTGAAGTGGACACTATGAGAAACAGTGACTTGATCAGCCCTTTTTTTGTCCTGACTCTTGAAGAACAGCTTAGTATTTTATTTTTAGTATTTTCTTGTTCTACTTAATACCATTTTTGAACCTTTTAATTAACACGTAATTATTCTTAGGTGTTTAAATTTAACTGAAAATTAATCCCTGTCAAAATAAGAGTGGGAATAAGAGAGCGAGGAAATGTACAGTTCAGCACACACTCACTCAGTCTTACCCCTAATGGTAGAGCTAGCAAGTTGCCATGGGGCTCCAAATACCATTATTTTGGCATGTACCAATTCCATCTTATTAGTAAAGTGATCAATTAAGTTTATAACTGATCATAAAGATAGTATTAAGTGTCAAATGGACCACATAAAGAAGATCGAGTGCTAATAATAATTGATAGAATTAAAAAGGAGAGAATGACCCAGCATGGGAAGCAAGATGCACAGCAGACTCATAGAATGGCAGTTGTCCTAAACAGCTCTCTGGACTCAGAATCAGCCCTTGTGGCATTCGAATCTGGCTAAAAAGCCCATATGAGTATTTCAAGCAAGGAAAGCCAAGACACTGTGGCAAAAAAAAAAAATGACCTAAATGAAAGATCTCTGTGAGTGAGATCCCAGCAGAAAGAATGGGCAATCAAAGAAGGAGGTACCTTTCTCTGAAGGGAGGAGAGAATTTCCACTTTGATTATGGCCTTGTCTAAGGTTGGAGAATGTGAATTAAAGAAGCTTCCATAGCCTTGGCTGCTCATGACAAGAGCCTCGGGTGATTACTGACATCATAAATATTAGTGTCAATTGTTAATAACAGGAGTCACTGTGCACTTACTCCCTACATAGGATTTCTGTCCTTAATGTGTTGTATTATGAAAATAAATGGCAAAACTAGTCTTCAAAAGGTACTTCATACTTTGTGTGTCTGTGTGGGTGCAAACTGTTGAAATCTTTACTTAGTATATACTAAGTTGATCTGCTGTATATAAAGATAATTAAAAATGAATCTTAATGAAGAATGGGGGAAAAATATTTTCAAACTATGCAACAGATAAAGGGTTAATAACCAGAATCTACAAAGAGATCAAGAAACTCCACAAAAACAAAACAAACAACCCACTTAAGAGATGGGCCAAGGACCTCAATAGACATTTTTCAAAAGAGGAAATCCAAATGGCCAATAGGCACATGAAAAATGTTCAAGATCACTAGCAATCAGGGAAATGCAAATCAAAACCATAATGAGGTTTCACCTCACCCCGGTTAGAATGGCTCACATACAGAAATCTACCAACAACAGATGCTGGTGAGGATGTGGGGAAAAAGGGACACTAACCCACTGTTGGTGGGAATGCAAACTGGTCAAGCCACTATGGAAGTCAGTCTGGAGATTCCTCAGAAATCTGAATATAAGCCTACCATTAGACCCAGCCATCCCACTCCTTGGAATTTACCCAAAGGAATTTAAATTGGCAAACAAAAAAGCGGTCTGCACCCTAATGTTTATCGCAGCACAATTCACAATAGCCAAGACCTGGAACCAACCTAAATGCCCATCAACGGTAGACTGGATAAAGAAATTATGGGATATGTACTCTTTAGAATACTATACCGCAGTAAGAAACAATGAAATCCAGTTATTTGCAACAAAATGGAGGAATCTGGAACACATCATGCTGAGTGAAGTAAGCCAGTCCCAAAGGGACAAATACCATATGTTCTCCCTGATCGGTGACAACTGACTGAACACCAAAAAGGAAACTTCCTGAAGTGAAATGGACACTGAGAAATGGTGACTTGATCAGCATAGCCCTGACTGTTAATGAACAACTTAATACTTTATCCCTCTTAGTAGTTTTTTTTGTCTGTTCTACTTAATATGACTGGTTTAATTCTGTAATTAATACACAGTTATTCTTAAGTGTTGAAAATTAACTGAAATGTGATCCCTTTTAAATATAAGAGTGGGAATAAGAGAGGGAAGAGATGTATAATTTGGGACATGCTCAAGCTGACTTGCCCCAAATGGTAGAGTTAGAAACATACCAGGGGATTCCAATTCAATCCCATCAAGGTGGCATGTACCAATGCCATCTCACTATTCCAAGTGATCAATTTCAGTTCACAATTGATCATAATGAAAGGTCTAAGAGTCAAAGGGAGCACATAAACAAGTCTAGTACCTGCTAATACTAACTGATAGAATAAATAAAGGGGAGAGTGATCCAACATGGGAAGCGAGATACTCAGCAGACTCATAGAATGGTGGATGTCCTAAACAGCACTCTGACCTCAGAATCAGCCCTAAAGGCATTCAGATCTGGCTGAAAAGCCCATGAGAGTATTTCAGGCATGGAAAGCCAAGGCACTCTGGCAAAAGAAAAAAAAAAACAAACAACAACAACAACAAAAACCTAAATGAAAGATCTCTGTGAGTAAGATCCCAGTGGAAAGAACAGGTCTTCAAAGAAGGAGGTACCTTTCCCTGAAGGGAGGAGAGAACCTCCACTTTGACTATGACCTTGTCTAAACAAGATAAGAGTCGGAGAACTCAGAGGGCTTCCATAGCCTTGGAAACTCATGACTGGAGCATAGGGAGATTACTGATGCCATAGACAGGAGTGTCAATTGGTAAAGTCAACAACAGGAGTCACTGTGCACTTGCTCCTCATGTAGGATCTCTGTCCTTAATGTGCTGTACATTGGGATTTGGTGCTATAACGAGTACTCAAACAGTATATTTCACTTTGTGTTTCTATGGGGGTGCAAACTGCTGAAATCTTTACTTAATGTATACTAAAGTTATCTTCTGTAAAAAAAAAAAAAGAAAGAAATTATCAATTCCCAACTTGACTCTCACTGGGATTAAACATGACAATAGGTCTGATCTGATTTCATCATCATTTAAAAAATCATCTATTATTTTTCACTTTATGTTTCTGTGTGGGAGCAAACTGTTGAAATCTTTACTTAATGTATACTAAGCTGATCTTCTGTATATTAAGATAATCGAAAATGAATCTTGATGTGAATGGAAGGGGAGAGAGTTTGGGAAAGGGGAAGGTTGTGGGTGGGAGGGACGGTATTGGGGGGGGGAAGCCATTGTAATCTATAAGTCGTACTTTGGAAATTTATATTCATTAAATAAAAGTTAAAAAATCAAAAAAAATGAATAATGGGATGGGAGAAGTAGTAGGAGATGGGATGGTTTGTGGGTAGGAGGGTTCTTATGGGGGTAAAACCACTATAATCCAAAAGTTGTACTTTCAAACTTATATTTATTAAATAAAACTTTTTATTAAAAAGTAACATTTCTTTATTGGTTCAGTCTCCATTAAAAATGTACCTTACTAATGGAACTGTCCTGAGAAAAAGGAAAGTGGGGGTCAAGTGTGAAAACTTTCTGTTCAGGTTTCATATTTTATCTGCAACTGTTAATATTATGACTTAATATTAGTATGAAATCTGGTAGCATTCTCAGTGAAGTGTCCATTTCAGACCATGTTGCACAATCAGGCAAACATGTGAACAGTTGACTGAGATGTTACTACTAACAGTGACCCCAAGTTTAGTGTTAACATGTCTTTCCACTGTAGTGGTCACCATGCTGATTGTGTTGACCAATTTTAATTTTGCAAACATGAAATGAAAGACAGATAGCATAGCTTTTAAGAGTTTTGTCTTAACTATGAGACCCTGAATAAAGTGGAATCCTGATTGTTGAATGAGCTTACTGATTGAATTTTCACAGTACCTTCAACTGACTCCATTGTTGGGGGTATAGTGTTTTTTGGCAAGACACGGATTTTTCTGACCTTCTGTATGGAATGGGCAGTCGATGTTCTTGACCTTCGACTTCCTTTTCGTCTAAAACACTTTAGACAAGATCCTGGAACAGTTTGACAATACAGACAGCTGTTGACATCCCAATGGTGGGAGACCACAGAGAGGTGTTTAATCATTGCAGTTCCTAATTTTTATCCCAGTTTTCACATTCAATCATGCAAACCATCTTCTAAATCACAGTTGGATGTTAGGCAGACCTTGCACTTTGATGAACATTTCCTACCCATCAGTTTGATAGTGTAGCTAAATACCTTTGTTGAGATGAGAGAACAGGGACCTGTGCTTGACAGTTCAAATCTTAGAGAGAAGCTGCTTGTACCTGAAAAGTTACAGAGTCCTCCAAACCCCCACTCCACCCCACAACCAGCACGTTTCTAAGTTCCCTGTTTTGAGATGTGGAAATATTTATATGGCCCTCCGTGTTGTGTTTGAGCTCAAGTGATTAAGAACAAATGAATCTACATCAAGCCTGATTGTCTGAAATTCTTCGATCTTCAAATGCCTGGAAGCACAAGCTGACCACCTGGTAGTGATTGAATGCAGGGAGGATAACTGACCACAGAGGAGGAGAGGATAGAAATTACTCTCCTTCCTTTTGATGTGTAGGAAGCTTTACAGTTCATGGACAATCTCAGTCATTCCTATGTTCCCCACATAGCCCCAAGCCATGGGCAGATCAGAGCCTATTTCATGTGATTTACTATGAAGCAAATTGAAAATTATGCATTGTCTGTGAGTTGTCCACATTCATAACACTGATAAGTTATGGATCTGGGACAATCTCATCATTGGTTCCCTAAAGGATAGAGGACCATGAATATCTCCACTAGAACCCTGGACTAAGAACTCTAAGTGGCTTTCTGACATCTTCCAGGGCAGGATTTCCTCAGGAATAGTCTTGCTCGGGGCAAAGTCCTGGAGACAAGAGAAATCCTGACTCAGATGCCTTCCTGACTTAAAATAGGTTTCTATTTTAAGTTTCTAACAGGTTTCTATTCCTGACTTAAAATATGATGCTTTCCTCCAGGACATCCTCTCTGATGGTCTGGAGAAACCCAAACTTATGCCCATCATGGCCCAGCATCTTCACACTATTATTGGCTCAGCTTTCTCCATGGCCAGATGTTCCCACAGGGCCAGTGGTGTGTTTGATTTTAAAGCTGGGTCAAAACTCAGGACATCCCAGAGCAACTGCCATGTGAGGGTGAGCCAAGCATTGACTTCTCTGCCATGGCCAATGCTGCATGAACACTGAACAGAAATTCACCCAAAATGGGGCCATTCCATTGTTGTGGTACTGGGGGATGGGGAATTTGGGATCAGATTGTTGCAGGGAATTCATGTGGCTCTCTCGGTACTGAACTGGTTAATAGTGGGGAGGTTCATTAGAACATAAGGCTGACCCCTCTTCCTGTGTCTCTTCTGTGTGACTCTGCTTGCTCTTCTAATTTTCCATGATGATAGGACACAATATGGACATTTGATAAGGGTATCTGATCTTTGAAATCTGGACTTGAGAATATTGAGCTTATGGGTCTTCTTTCTTTATAGTTTACCCTGTCTCATGTGTATTTTTTAATGTCACAAAAAACCTAGTACTTACACTTCATAGAAAGTGGCTGAGCAGTCTAAAATCTCTGTCTGATAAAAAGACAGTGTCTGTACCAACTCTGTGTGCCCACCTTCATGCCCATGACTTCCTTCACCAAAACCCAGTCCCTAGGAACTCTTCAGCTCTCCCTAGACCCTGCAGGGACAGCATACACAGTTCCCTCTCCCACTGGCAAGGCTCATTCATCGTCATACTTGCCCCCATACAACCTGTGATTCTGCCTGAGGACCCTCAGGAAGACCCTCTTCTCTCTGTCTTCAGATGTCTGTCCAGGTGACCAACAGCACGGTCCCTCCTTCCTGTTTTCCTGACAATCCCCAAACAACAGGTTTCATGTGCTTATTCACCTCATGGAAACCCTCCCTGAAATCCCAATCTCTTTCCAATGTGACAAAAATTATTTGGATTCAAACTGTTCTTACAGTCTTGGTCTCAGATGGTGAACTCTACAGACAGAAGAAATTGGCTTCAAAGTTCCTTTTTGTGTGATGTCTTATGTGTTTGGTCTTAATTTTACCTGACCTGATGACAGTAGTGTGAGTTTCTTTCATTCATTTTCTGAATAAGTTGTGAACAAACTCGGCATTAGGAATAATGTATTTTTCAAAATTTAGGAAATATTTTGAAACAAACTTAATAGCAGCATCAAAAGTAGAAATTGAGTAATACAAATGACAAATGCATTTAGAAATCTGTAGACAGCCTGGAATGGGGGAAATGAAAGTCCATGGGGAAAGTGTATTAAACAGAAGTGGCCCATTGGAAGAAACATCATTGTGAAAGTCAGTGTGAACCTACCTGCTGGACAGCAGTTGAGATTTCCCATCTTGGACCACTCTGGATATGACGATACACACGTTACCACTGCACTCAAGTTTGAACCTTTCAGCTCAAGAGAGTGACAGTTGGAATAGCAGGATGATGTCATTCACCATGTTACCATGGTGACAGGACACCATGGAATTTTCAAAGTGAGCCATACCAGTCTTTAGGTGATGCTGTGCTGCTGTCTACATAAATATTTTTGTGTCCAAGCATATCATTTTGGAGTCCAAGTTTGGTTTCCTAAACTGACTCCAAGACACACTTATTATCATTCTCTTCCTTTGAAGGAAGTTGAGTGACTTAAAGGACCTATTTCCATTAGAGTTGATGGTTAACAGTTTTAATGTGAGGCACGTGTACTGAATCATGTCATCTGCAAACATGGCTATTTTGATTTTCTCTTTTATGGGTTGTGAAGCTCATTGTTTCTTTAATTCTGTAATTGCTCATGCTAATACTTTAAACACTATATCAAGTAAGAGTGGTAAAAATTGGACATCCTATTCTTGTTCTAGATCTGACAGAAAATGCTTTCAAGTTTTATGAATTCAGCATGATACTTGTTGGTTTGTCATATACATATATGTATACACACTTGTAGCTGTATCATTTTGAGAAATGCTCCTTGTATAACTAATTTTTGAGAGTTTTTTATAATGAATGAATGCTGAATCATAGCATATGATTTCTCTGCATCTATTGAGATGAACATATGGTGTTTGTTCTTCATTCTGTGTCTGATCTTTTTGATGTAGCATTGGACTCAGTTTGCTAACATTTTGTTGAGAATTTCTACTTCTGTGTATATCAGGAAAATTGGTCTAAGTTTACTTTTCATATTATGTCTTTGTCTGGTTTTGGTATTGGAGTAACACTGGCCTCATAAGAAGAATTCAGCAGAATACTCTGCCTTGAAAACAGTAATTGCATGGCTGGTGCAGTAGGCTGAGCTGGTCCATGTCCAGCTGCACTTCTAACTAAGCTCTCTGCTTATGGGCTGGGAAAGCCACTGATGATGGCCCAAGTGCTCAGACCCCTGCACCCAAGTGGGAGACCCTGAGGAAGCTCAAGTTCCTGCCTTTGGAACCAGCAGATGGAATACCTTTCTCTGTCTTTTCTTCTCTCTGTAATGCTACCTCTCAAATAAATAAATCTTTTTTACAAATCCTTAAAAACTGAGCCTGAACAGTGATCCCTTTGATTTTGATTCAACATCATATATTTTGTGTATCTTAAGGAGAAAAATTTATAAATATATATATATATAAAGATTTATTTATTTGAAAGGCATGGCTATGAACAGAGAGGGAGAGGCAGAGAGAGAGAGAGAATGAATGAGAATCTTCTATCCATTGGGTAATGCCACCAGGAAGTGAACCAGTAGATTCAAGACCAATCCTCCCTCCCTCCCTTTCTCTCTCTTTTTCTCTCTCTTTCTCCTGAGATTTAAAACAGTTTTGATATCCATGGAGTACAATGGAGAAATGATAGTCATGACAGGAATATTTACTTTTCTGTTATTAGATGTTAATTTAAATTAGGTAGTTCTATTTACAATTATCTTTAAATTAGTCCTTTTTCCATTTAGTTACAGAATCATGAATGAATTTTTCTCATAAATTTTATTGTACTATTCTGGTGTATATGTAATATTATGTACTGTAGTATATGTTGTGTTGACTACTAGATGGAATGTAGTTTTAGTTCTTTATCTGTATTTTGTCAATTCCAAGAAACATATAATACATATACATATATATGTGTGTGTGTGTATTAAGCTCACTAATTTGATGAGTTAATGTCTTAAATTTCAATTTTATTAAATTTGCTGTATCATTTTCCATTCTCTTCCTTTGTGTCATTTTTGATGTTTAGTATGGCCACTGACAGGAGTGATGTTACAAGGACACACAAGTTTGGCACATCATCCTTGTGTAATGCACAAAATAAAGTTTTGGTCATTAAAGTATCAGAAATAATGCCTTTTATTTACTAGGAATAAAGAAGTGGAAATGTTTAATGATTTTAGGTGTTTAAGGAGTAAATATATTCTGTTCATACAGGACTTAGAGTCTTTATCTTTTATTCTTTCATTGGAACAAATATTATAAATATATTGAGTAAAATGCTCATAAAAATGATAGCTTTATTGAGGACTTACATTGTACTACATACTACACTAAGCACTTTATATACATTTATGTCCTTTATTATTCCTAATTCCATTTTGTCATATAAACTACTAATTGTCTTAATTTTGGGGAAATTGAAGAAAATGTTTTTTTAAATTTTATTAGAGAGGCAGTCAGAGAAAGAGACAGAGAAAGCCCCTTTTTACTGGTTCACTTTCAAAATGCCCACAGAAGCCAGAGACCAGGAACTGCATCCAGGTCTCCCACATGGATGGCAAGTATATAACCACTTCAGCCATCACCTGTTGTGTCCCAGGGTGTGCACCAACACAAAATTGTAAGTGAGAATGGAACTAGAACCCAAACCCCACCACTTTGTTTTGAGATGCAGATATCCCAACCTCTGTCTCAACTGCTAGGCCAAATGTTCTCCTCAAGCATGTGTTTAGATCCATCTTGCCTGTGCCTTAGCTTTTAATCATGATGGTCCTGCTTCCTGGTTTTTGTAAACTGAATGTGACAGTTTAATTTTACCATTTCAGTAATGTTTTTGCTTGGGGGTGTGGAAAAACCTTTAAAGTTGAACCAGGGATCATTCAAAGCATTTTTATGCTCCTTAAAATCTTAAACCACTGTATGTGTATGTGTATGTATCTGTATTTGTGTACATCTGTGCATCTATCCATCCATTGTCCATCTGTTTATCTGTGCTGGACATATTTGTATTATATTTCAGAATTTTCCACTTTTCATTTGTCATTGATTTCTTATTTTCTTAGGGTCAGAAATGATAGTTTGTAAGATTTCAGTCTTTGAAATATATTGATATTGGGGGCCGGTGCTGTGGCCTGGAGTGCCTGCATCCCATATGGGCACCGATTCGAGTCCTGGCTCCTCTGCTTCTGATTCAGCTCTCTGCTGTGGCCTGGGAAGGCAGTGGAGGATGCCCCAGGTCCTTGGGCCCCTGCACACATGTGGGAGACCTGGAGGAGTCCCCTGGCTCCTGGCTTCGGATCAGCGCAGCTCTGGCCATTGCAGCCAATTGGGGAGTGAACCAGCAGATGAAAGACTCTCTCTCTCTCTCTGCCTCTCCTCTCTCTGTGTAACTCTGACTTTTAAATAAATAAATAAATCTTTAAAAAAAAAAAGAAATACATTGATACTGACTGTGCCCATACCACCCTGAATGCTGCTTCCAACCTTCTCTGAAATACATAGACGCTTACTTTGTGTTCTAACATATTATCTGTACTGCAGAATATCCCATATTCAATTGATTTATTTACACATTCTTATTTTGTTTGCTGATGTTTTCTTTTCTTTTCTTTTCTTTCTTTTTTTTTTTTTTTTTTTTTTTTTGGACAGGCAGAGTTAGACAGTGAGAGAGAGAGAGACAGAGAGAAAGTTCTTCCTTCTGTTGGTTCACCTCCCAAATGGCCGCCATGGCCAGCACTCTGGGGCTGGTGCGCCACGCCAATCTGAAGCCAGGAGGCAGGTGCTTCCTCCTGGTTTCCCATGCAGGTGCAGGGCCCATTGCTGGTGTTGTCTATATACATACAGGGGGACTTGAAAAGTTTCTGGAAAAAGTGAATTAAAAGGTAATTCCATTGTAGTGCAAAAACGTTTAAATCCATCAATAGTTCTTCACATAATATGAAGTTCTTGAAGACCCTGTATTCACACAGATCTGATCATTTATAGTGTTGGGCAGAGTTGTTGAAGAGCATAGTAGTCCATTTGTTAGTGACTTCCCAAACTATTTTTGAAAATACTTACTCATTGTGATATGTAGTGACTGAGGTCATTGTTTCTTGTGTTTAACAGAGATATTCTTGAATGTCAGGAGCTATTAAGAGCAACAGCAATCACAACAACAACAAAACCCTAGTACTGGAAAACCAAGTGGCACCATGTCTTTGTAGGCTGTGCTGCCAGAGTCCTTAAACATTTGCTCAGGCTTGCACTCCTTCCTGCTGGGGAAGCTGTCTTCTCTGTTTCTTTCTGATCGTGCATATTCCTCTGAAAGGCACATGGCCTTCTGCATTCTCCCACGTATATGAATCCTTTTGAATGTCCTAATTTCCCAGAGAAACTCTCACTAGCTTTTGCTCCCAGGCATTGGGTTGGTCTATTTTGTGTTTCACTTGCAATCTTTTGCCCCAGGCATCCTTGGGCTCTTAGTTTGCCTTGCAGTATGTTCCAGTAATGCCTGATGCTTTCTTCTAAGTTGCCTAAACAAAGAGAAATGCCTTTTTGGTTACTCCTTCAGGTTGCCCCTGACCAGGTTCAAGCAGATGTGCACAACAACTTACAAAATGATCTGCTGTGCTCTGTCCGGAACCAGGTACCAGACTCCCAAGCTGGGTGTGTGAGCTTCCCTCTTGAAGACTGCTACAGCCAAGGGAGAGGGTGAGCTAAGGGCAAGTAAAAAATGCCACAGAATTTCCAAGTTCTCTTTTTCTTGATTCTATATTCATTAGACTTTTTTAAATCTTTGACTGTTTCTCAGAGTTTTGACACAGTTTGCTTGATTAATTGCTTGTCTTTCAGTGTTTCTATGGGAGGGACAAGTACTTGGAGTTTCATACTCTGACACTTTTTGCTGATGTCAGCCTGCTGTCTTTTTTAAAAAACTAATTCTGGCCAGCGCCGCGGCTCACTAGGCTAATCCTCCGCCTAGCGGCGCCGGCACACCAGGTTCTAGTCCCGGTCGGGGCGCCGGATTCTGTCCCGGTTGCCCCTCTTCCAGGCCAGCCCTCTGCTGTGGCCAGGGAGTGCAGTGGAGGATGGCCCAGGTGCTTGGGCCCTGCACCCCATGGGAGACCAGGAAAAGCACCTGGCTCCTGGCTCCTGCCATTGGATCAGCGCGGTGTGCCGGCCGCGGCGGCCATTGGAGGGTGAACCAACGGCAAAGGAAGACCTTTCTCTCTGTCTCTCTCTCACTGTCCACTCTGCCTGTCAAAAAATAAAAATAAAAAATAAAAAACTAATTCTGTTTATTATTTAAAAGGAATTACAAGGTATCTTCTAAAATTAAAATGGCCTACCCAAAAGTGTTTTTTATTTAAAATAGTTCACTAGATTTCTGTTTTATATCTGACCTTTCTTCATCTAAAAGAGAAAAATTTAAAATGTTAGACAACTAATTATGAACACTAAAACATTAGAATGCAGATAAACTAATACACTCAATGGGAAATTACAAAATTCACAAATTTCACATCTTGACCATCTGACTCTTAAAATCTAATGGGTACTGCTGAAATTTTAGCATAAATAGTTAGCCTATGAAGGTTTACGGTTACTCTGATTCCTAAAATGAGGTGATGTCCCTCTTTTCACTAGTGATGTGTTTAAGTCAGCATAAGAATATACTTTTCTCATAGATTTCTTAAAGTCATTCACTTAATTAGGGATTTTATCATTTTTTCTCATACAAAACAAAAATATTTTAATACCTTTAAATTCCAAATTTTTCTTTAAAATCATTCATGAAAAAGATTCTCAAGTCAGAATTAACACCTCAATTAGTCAAGCATCAGGAAACTACATTACACCTATTTAATGTGCAAAGAGACATTTTTTCACGTCATTTTCTTCTGATGTCTGTTCCAGAATCACAGACTCTTGCTTCTCTACACTTCCATCCATCATTTCTGCAGATCATGAAAACTGAATTTGTTGAACACCAGAAAGCTGTTGATATGATGTTGTATAAACCATAACATTGTGTGCTGACCATCCGCAGTTATTAAGCCAGCTGGTAACTGGTTAGTGAATGCCTCCTCTGTAAGTAAGCTCTTCTCTTAGTCCTTCTGTAGCTGTGACTGCTCCACCAAATCCTTTCTTTCCTTTCATACCCTCTCTGAATTTCTGAAGGTACAATTTCAGAGGTTCCACATAACTGGCAAAGCCCAAGGTGGACATGGCAAAGAGAATGTCTTCTCCATTGATCGTCCTCTGTTTCTCTTTCACTTGTTTCAGATGCTGTAAAGCTAAGAACTCACACATTCTTGAATACATTCTTTGGCATCTGTTGCAATCTTTCCTGTTTGAGGTGTGGCATTCTTCATTATCCTAGCCACATTTGCAACTGGAAGATATATTTCTTCTTGAGAAGCATCTGTGGTAGAACTGTCACCGTCCATTGTCATGAAATACTGTCAGAACCGTGGTGTCAGTGGTGCTCAGAGCACCTTTTTAAAAAGGTGTCTAATCTTTGCTCAATTCCAACCCATGTTTAAAGCATCTTGTTCTAATACTTCGGGTGAGATAACGATTTGCGAGTGCTCTGGAATTCTTTGTTCTCCCAGACTACTGCTCCATAAGCCCCTGCCTATCCTCCTGCCTCCCACCAGCGATGATCAAAACCTTAGTGCAATCCGAACGGCTTCCTTCCCACCTTCGGGGCAAGTCCAGGGACCACAAGCCACCAGATGACTGCATTCTTTACGTGCAAACCAGACTGCAGGACACCAACGCCATTCCTGCCTCCCGGGCCCGAGGCCGAGCCCGCCGACCTGTCAGCATCGTTCGTGCTGCGCGGACACCCGATGGCCCAGCCAGCCCGGACCTGGCACCCAACGCTCGTCTCCCGCCCTCCGCGCGGCACCGGGGTGCGCAGGCGGACAAGGAGGCCGGACTCGGCCAGGACCCCGCGGACCCAGGAGCCGGCGGTCGGGGGTGCTCCGCGGGGCCCGCGCGGCTGCAGAAGCCGAGGGGGCAGGGTCGGGGCGGCGGCGGGGACCCGGGCCGCCTCCCCCGCTAGCCGGCCTGCTCCCCGCACAAAATGGAGCCGGCCCAGGGCGCCACCGAGAGAGACCCCGACCGTGCCCCGCCGGCAGCCCTCTTCTGCCTCGGACTCGGAGTTCAAGGGTGGTGAGCGGGAGGCGGCCTGGCCCGCGTACCGCCCTCCTCGTTCGGCGCACAAAGAGCCGCGCTGCGGCCTCGCAGGCGCCGGCCCGGCCCAGGTCCAGGTCCGGGCGGGCGGGTGGGAGGGTAGTGCCCAGGCCAAGGCGGCATTGGCTGCGGGGATGGTGCTGGGACGGTTTTAACTAAAACACTGTAGTTAATTTAATTAAAGGACGGAAATCCTTAAGGATCTTTACACCACCCACCTGTGACTGTTTTCCTCTTCGTTTGAACCAAGTCATTTTTTTCTTCGAATTGTTACTTATCATACATAATTGGTGATGATCCTCTAACAGTTCAGAGACTATGTCTTATTTTTCTATTAGATTTCAGAATTCATAGCTAGTGTGAAGTGATGTGTAACACCCAGTGTTTTCAGATGTAAACTGAAGGCACGTTTGAGTAGGTGCTCTTATTGTATAGTGTTGTTCTAGCTGTTTTTTAGCTTAACCTAGAAGCAGACAGATGTTTGTGCATAAAACAGACTGCAGAAACCTATTGTGTACCTTCCTTTACCATGATTTCAAACTGCACTGATAAAACCTGTAGATGCCCTGAGCTAAACTTAAGAAGAGGAGTCTGAATGTCATTCACTCTGTTAAAAGCATGTTAGAAATGACTTGTAAAATACTGTGTTTTCTATTCTTATTTAAGCCAAGACAATTTACTAACATGTATTTTTCAAATTAGCTAATACACTTCAATTATGAATGTTATAAATTCATTTTGTAACATTGTTTAACAGTTAACATTATGTATATTTCAAACTTTTCTTGCCCTAAGTAATTGGTGAACTGTTTCTTTAGATAGAAAATGTATTGTGTTTTTACATATATGGTGACATCTAATACGTATAGTATATATTATTTATGCATGTATTTAAAATGCATAAAGAACCATATCCAGATTATTTTAGAGGCTAGTTTACATTACTTATTGATATACCTCTAAAATTACAGTTGTATCCTAGAAACTTACTGTTAGTTACATTATTACTCAAACAAATGAAATGTGTTAGCTTAAAACATTTTTAGATATTGATACTGTTTGATCATTTAAAGCTCCTTAGGTAAAGTATGATTGGAAAACATCCTGAGCATTCTTGTTACAGTTATGGCTGCCTGGCAACTTAGTTCAAAATCAGAATAGCAATGAAAAGCATCATAGTAAACTCCCTCGCACCAATTATTGTTATTTTTGGGCAACACTACACATATGTTCTGGTGAATGTATTATCATTACGTTTATTTAAATCCTTGATAAAATCATTACTTATTTTATTTTGCTTACCTAGAAATTAGATTCAGAGGTAAAGCAGCCTTTGTTTGTAATTATTAGTTGGTATTCTCTTGTGTCACCAAATGTGTTATGGGGAATGGGGAGAGTACCACTCAGAGACTGAATTTGGGTAGAACTTTATTGATGAGTCGCAGACTGACCAGCCAGGGACACAGTACAGACTTGGGAGCCACACTGTGTTGCTGGTTCCCTGTCTAGCAAGACTTATATGGGGCAAAATCACAATGTAGGTGGCAGGGTTCGGTTACAATTTTCTGGTGTAATAAGTAGGGGTTTTCAACTATGTTTGCATGAGCTAATGACATTTCTTGGAATTGGCAAGGTTACAGAGGAACTGGCTGTCTTTAAGCTAGGATGTGGTTAGGCAATAGGACATTTCACAGGGTACATGCAACATAGAATTTTTTTCTTAACTGCATGGGTGGGGATAGGTCACTTCTTGGTCATAAGTATTCAACATGGCATTTGTCCTGCTTTCTCTAACATACGTTTTTATCATGTAACAGCTTAGATGAAATATGGAGCTTTCTGTCTCTCTTTGATTTCTCCTGGTTACCAGTATTAATCCCCTCCAAATGTTTCACACAAATGAAAACTCTACAGGATGTAGCCCATTGTATGTACAATTTTCCAGAATTACAAGTTCTGTCTGTTCTTTTGTAAACCTTTCAATACTCCAACAGTTTCTTTCCAAAATAAAAGTCTGGAATCATCCATACTAAAATTAAGAATTTATAACTGGGAGGCACGGATGTTTTCATAAACATTTCCTATAATTAATTTCAACCAGAGGATTGAGGAAACAAAGCAGTTTTTCCTACTCCAAAACTTTATTGCCTTTTTCCCATATAGCAGACTCTGAAATCTTTTTTAATATGGTTAGTGAAATTATACTCCTTATTTAGTATGTTTTTGAAAAAAAAAAAACTGCTTTTTTTTCCTTATTGCCATCTCGTGTACCTTGAAAGTTAAATTTAATCTGATATTTTCATTTTGTAGCAGTTATAAACCAGAAAAGACCTTTGTAATTTTATAATTTCTTAGCAAGATAAAAATTCTTCTTTTAAAGATCAAGTTTCAATTATTTGAAGGATTTTATATTTGATTTGATAAACAGAAGCTTTAAGAAGAAATGGTGAGATGTAAATAATCATAATCCTTAATTTTAAGGATAGAGAAGGCTCATATTTAAAATATATACCATAGCGCTTATTCTGTGCTGGTTATGGAATATTTCACAGGAAATGGCTGCAGTGTGTGAATATGTTGTTGGAAATTTCCGTTTAGAGAGACAAAGGCAAACTTTAGTTCTTTCTGGTTTATTATAATACTGCTAATTTTTAAAAAATAAAGTGAAGTGTACCTTGCCTAAGTTTTCAAGAAATCAACAACAAATACACAGCTGGATTAAATCATAAATATTTAGCTTTTTTAGTCACCATTTACTCATGCTGTAATCCATCCTAGGAATCTTTTTGACCCTTTTTTTGAGGAGAAAACAAAAGAGGAAGAAGAAAGAAAACCTGAAAGTGTACCTTGCAAAATGAGTTAAAGGTTTATTAAGTGGACACAGTCCATTTTCCATCCTCCTGAGTACTTTGGCACAGCTGTAAAGATCTTGAAGAGAAACATTCTTGACTAATCTGTCAACTGTAAAATGTGTACAGAAAAATAGGTAGCTATCACTAAAATTACACTTCAGCTTTCAGTAACCATTTAATGAGTAGCATAATTATATAAGTATGGAGACGTAAGTACTCTACTCAATAATTAAAAATAATCTCATCTTTACACTGAAAGTTCTGTAATTACTATTTGACTTCACCAGGACCACTGTGGGAATCTCCAGTGGCACGCTGAGTTGTTCAGAGTGGATTAAAATCATAAGATAAAATTGGATAAATCATTAAATTATTAAGCTTTAAATATTACAAGAATGAATGTATCCTGATATTTGGAAGTTACATTGTAGGAATTTGCAGTCTAAAACCAGATTCTGATGTTCATTTTTTTCTCTTTGCCATGAAAGTGATTTTATTTCCTATGATTTTAAAAACAGATTTATTTGAAAGGCAGAGTTACAGAGAGAGAGAGAGAAATCTCTCATCTGCTGGGTTATTTCCCAGATGGCCACAACAGCTGGGGCTGGACCAAGCTGAAGCCAGGAGCCGGGAGCTTCTTCCAGGTCTCCCATGGGGGTGCAGGGGCCCAGGCCATAGAGGGAGCTGGATCAGAAGTGGAGTAACCAGGTCTCAAACCTGTATCCCATATGGCAGGTGGTGGCCTTACCCGCTGTGCCACAGTGCTGGCCCCTGGTATCAGCCCTTTCTTACCTGGCCTGAGTTATGCCTGGTGTAGCACCACTGTGGCCAGGAGCTTGAAGCTGAGCTGAACACCTCACCCAGCACACACAGGCTGCACCCACCGCACAACTACAATCCCAGAGCACCCACAGGGGACTGCTGGGAGCCCAGGATTTACAACAATCAGTGATCAATGCACCCCACGCAGGACATTAGGCAGTGCGGGCTGTGGACTCCCAGTATGGCTTCCTGCCCTGGGGACTCCTGCCCTGGAGTTTGCAACCCAGTGCAAATAGCTTAATGTTTGCTTTCAGAGGCATCGCCTGAGGTGCTTGGTTCCCCATGGTTCCTTCATCACCTTCTCATCCCAAGTATAGCCCTCTAGTGGTTCTGTGTGGGAGGTACAGAGGCTGGACCATTCTGGGCTATCTCAGCATCTGGATCCGATGTACTCTAGGCTTGGCAGTAGGCTCAAGGCTCAGCACTTAAATCATTCATAGCAGTTTGGAAAGAGCACAGGGAGATTCCCCTCAAGAAAAGGGAAAAGCTTGCAGGAAAGATTCTGAAAAATAAGATTAAGGAGGGCTTCTGCCTGCTCAGATGACATGCCTTGGGCTTCTTCCCTCTTGCAAAATCAACATCCCATTGGGCAAGCGTAACTACACATTTAAGACTGCACCCACCCCCGCTATCATTCAGACTTCTGAAAAAAATATTTCTATGGAAAAACATCAGGGGCTGGGGCTGTGGCACAGTGGGTAAAGCCGCCGCCTGCAGTGCTGGCATCCCACATGGGTGCCAGTTCATGTCCCGGCTGCTCCACTTCCGATCCAGCTCTCCGCTGTGGCCTGGGAAAGCAGCAGAAGGTGTCCCAAGTCCCTGGGCCCCTGCACCCGCATGGGAGACCTGGAGGAAGCTCCTGGCTGCTGGCTTCAGATTGGCACTGCCATTGCAGCCCTCTGGGGAATGACCCAGCGGAGGGAAAACCTCTCTCTCAGCCTCCTGTCCTTATAAACACGTGAGAACTCCATGGAAGGGGATCCCTGCAGCCGCAGCTAATGTAGGAACACCTGGGGCACCTTCACGCAGGTCACTCATCACACTCGATAGCTCTCATGCCTCAGGGACTGTTAGGAGGGTCCCAGGTACGGCCTTGGCATTGTCAGTGAGCTGTGCTTAAAGCAGGCCTCCATCCCAGTTTCTGGTGCTTTCTCAGAACGTTTAAGAGACAAGCAGTTAATTATTACTTCACAAGGGTGGCTGTAACAAGTTGTCAAGACAGCAGCTGAAAAAATCCTGGGGTGCGTGTCCTGGCCCCGTAGGCTAGGCTGTAGTGTCTGATGGCAGCGGCCCATAGCAGGGTTCTGGTTCAAGCCCCAGTTCCTCTGTTTCCACTCCAGCTCCCTGCTAATGCACCCAGGAAGCTGGCGGTGATGAGCCACCCGTGTCTCCCACGTGCAAGTCCCGGGTAGAGCTCTCGGCCCAACCCTGGCTGCTGTGGGCATTTGGGGAGTGACCTGACAGATGCAAGATTCTCTCTCTCTCTCCCCCACCCCAACCCTGTGTAAATAAATAAATCTTAAAGCAATTTAAAAACTTTTCTTTTTTGAGGTGGACACTGTGCAGTGAGTGAAGCTACCTCTTGTGTGGTGAGGATCTTGTTCCCGTGTGGTGTCTGGAGGCCCCGGGTGCCTGACTTACAGGCATGGCACCAGAAAACATGGAAACTTGTTCCCAGCTGCACTTCGCCTGAACTAGTCATTTCTGAACAATTCCATATGAGAAGCAGGTGCCTTGTAGATATAGGAGGCAGATGGTAGGAGTTTTCTGTTATTCACAGTGGCATGCAACCTTTAAACAATAAACGCTCATGTCTGCAGAAATCTACATTTTTTGGCCAACACAAGGTTCCATTTATTTTTTTAGAAAAATATCAATATTTTTATAGATCCTGTATAAAAAATCTTTTGTGAGTTAACTCGCACCCACAGGTTATGAAGACAGCAAGTGCAGACAGGATCAAGGCTGGCAACAAGCCCAGTCTTTGGATCTCTCTCGCATACCAGGCCCTGTATGCTCAACATCCAAAATCCGGCTCCTGGTTCCTCAGGGCTGGGAGAGGGGGTGCTGCTGGTGGGAAACCTTACCCATGCCCTTGCAGTTCTGCTTCGTGAGTGTTTGCAAGAAAATGAAGAGATTTTAATGTAAAAAGTGGATTCAGTCTGCAAGACAAGGGACAAGGGTCTTGGAGGAAAAGAACCCCTGCCCCAAGGCTGTGGGGAAGGTGAGGGGGCAGGGGGAAAGTGAGAAGGGCAAGGGGGAAGGGGATGGGGCATAGGAAGAGGGAGGGGGCTGTGGGAATGGGGGGCCGTGGGGGAAGCGAGGGGGCCATGGGGAAGGGGAGGGGTGGGGCAAGGAAAGGGGCCATGGGGAAGGGGTGGGGCGTGGGGAAGGGAGGGGGCCATGGGAAGGGGAGAGGGCGCCAAGGCCTCCCCGGAAATGGGTCCCTGTGCCTGCAGATTAATACTCGGTGTTCTCAAACATGGAGAATCCCAGGGCTCCTTACAGGAAGCAGGATTCCCTTGGCACAGACGCTGTTTCTGAGTTCCTGCTTGCCCAGTGCCCGTGAGGACAAGGAGGAAGGCGAAGCCAAGTCCGTGTCTGTTTCGTCCAGTGTCAGCGTCTTCATCAATTCATGACGATTCTCCCCTCCCCTTCTCGACCCTGCAAACCCGGCGAAGCACAGGGGCAAAGCCTCACCGAAGCTCACGGCGACAGTGACAACTACAATGACATTTCGGTTCTGACTGTCGGGTGTTTCACGATCTCGCCGAGCCCTGAAGCCAGGGAGCATTCCAGATGTCACTGAGGGCCACGTACACTTGTCCGTCCTTACACACACGGCGCCCGCTGTTCCAGGTGCGCCCCAGTGGCTCCAGTGTCCGCCTCCACCTGCGTGGCCTTCTGGAAAACGCTGAGGTCTCGGGGTGGAGGGGACTTGGGGGACAGTGCAGCGCGGGGCGCGGGCCAGTCAGGATCACCGTCGGCACCCACGTCCCCGTGTGCGTTTCTGGAAACGTGGAGATTCCCGCCCCCAAGACTGCAGGGTTCTGCGGGCTCACCCGGACACCGGTGGTCAGGGGCCCGGCCCTCAGCTCCCGGGCAGCCCTAGAGAGCGGGTGCGGGCGGCACGGCGGGTCACGCGCTCTCAGACCCGCGTCCGGCAGGCGGGAGAAGCCCTGGGTCTCTGGTCCGGGGCGCAGAGTCCCCACTGCGGGTCCCGGCAGCGCCCCGTCTCTGCAGGCTCTGCCTCGGGGCACCTCAGCCCCGGCTGCCCGTGCCACGGCTGGTGAGGGATGTTTCGGCCGAGGCTCTTAGCGCTCCTGGGTTCGGGTGTTCGCTGGCGCCCCGCTACCTGGCAGGGAGCCCACAGAGACTCCTGCACCCGCAGTCCTGCGGACACAGACACCCTGCGGCCTCCCCGTCGCAGGTTCTGATCTTTGTCATTTGTTAGGAGGAACACATGATATATTTAGTAGTATACAGTGTTTTCATAACTAAATGTTGAAATGTGTATTTAAAAATTAGACTATTAAATCTCTATCAGTAAGGACATATATTTTACATTGGGGCATTGATAAGTGTTTTTATAGTTTCTTCAGTAAATTTATTTTTATTCTATACAATTTAAACAGATAGGTGTGAATTTGTTCTAACTTTTATTTGATGAATATTCCCGTTTCTTAAGTAAATATTTTTTCTAGATGTTTGATAGTATTGCAGGAGACATGAATACTTCTTGGTATTTCTGTTTTCTCATGTTTTAAATCACTGAACTTTTGACAGATATATTGTAAGTTAGCAATTAAAACATAAATATTTGGGTAAACCTCTAAGGTGTATTTTTTTCTTTTTTGCTTTTCTTCTGATTTATTTGAAATGCAGTCAGAGCTAGAGAGAGGGAGAGAGCACGCTGGGTCACTTCCCAAAAGGCCGGCGCTGGGCCAGGCTGGAGCCGGCAGAGTGGAGCTCCATCCGGGTCACCCACGCAGGTGCAGGGCCCCTGCACTTGAGCCCTCACCGCTGCTCCCAAGGTGCGCATGCGCAGGGACCTGGGCCCCACTGGCGCTCCCGCCCCAGCACTGCAGGCCTGGGGAGTGACCAGGAAGGGAGCTGGGTCTGACTTCCGCCCCCAGCACTGTGTCTTCCATGGCACAGCTGTGGACCCCAGTCCCCCCCCCCATCAGAAACGTGACTCTGCTGAGGGGTGGGGGACAGGGAGCAGCCCACCGTGACCCCCTGGGCCTCTGGCTGTTCGCTTCAGTTAAAGGGGAAGAGACCCAGGAAGTGTTAGGAGTCAAGTGTACGGGAGGTGCAATCACGGACGGCTTTCTGGAGGAGGTGGCACTTGAGCCAGGTCCTGTAAGGGAACAGGCAGCCAGGTCGGGAGAATGAAGGCAGCCGTGAGAGGCCGACACGTCCAGCCCCAGGGGTGCTTCTTCCAGGTGACACCCCGGTAGCCACCGCCAAGAACATGCCTGGGGACAGCGCAGATCTGTTTGGGGATGGCGCGGCAGAGGACAGCGGTGCGGCCAACGGGCGCCTGTGGCACACGGTCATCATCAGGGAGCAGGAGCACCGCATCGACCTGCACATGATCTGGCTGTACATGAAGGTGGTCACCCACAGAGGTGAGGCCCCCCCGTTACCACGTGGTCAACCATGGAGGTTAGGCCACCCTGTTACCACGTGGTCACCCACGGAGGGGATATTCCCCCCGCCCGTACCACTGCTCACCCACAGAGGTGAGACCCTACCCTGGTACCCGTGGTCACCCATGGAGGTTTGGCCCCCGGTTACCACGTGGTCACCCACGGAGGGGAGATCCCCCCGTACCCACAGAGGTCAGACCCCCCCCCGGTACCTGTGGTCACCCACGGAGGTGAGACCCCCCCTCCCTGGGTACCCGTGATCACCCACGGAGGTGAGACCCCCCCTCCCTGGGTACCCGTGATCACCCACGGAGGTGAGACCCCCCCCCCGGGCACCCGTGGTCATCCTGGAGGTCGGACCCCCTGCTGGGCCCGGAAGACCCTCCGTGCGCCTGCGTGGTTCAGAGCCCAGCGACGGCCGCCCTCACAGGCTACCACAGTGAGGGCCTCAACGCAATCATCGTCTATGCCGCCAGCTTCCTCCAGGACAGCAGCTGCCCGGACTACCACTAAGTCCTGGAGAACCTCTTCCTGTGAGCGGGCGGGGAGGGGCCAGGAGGGCAGGGCGGGCAGGAGGCGGGGCGGGGAGGGTGGGCGGGGAGGGGCCAGGACGGGCAGGGCGGGGCAGGCGGGGCGGGCGGGGGGCGGGGAGGCAGGAGGGCAGGGCGGGCAGGAGGCGGGGCGCGGAGAGGGGCCAGGAGGGGCAGGGCGGGCGGGAGGCGGGGCGGGAGGCGGGGCGGGGAGGGGCCAGGAGGGGCAGGGCGGGGCAGGCGGGCGGGGCGGGCGGGGCAGGCAGGGTGGGCGGGAGGCGGGGCGGGCGGGGACCCTCGCTCGCCCAGGCTCCCCCTGCTGGCCCACTCTGGGCCTTCCCTGGGCGCAGAGGCTCCGCAGCCGCCACACCACACACGTCCATCACCAACACCATCAACACCATCATCATCATCACCACCAATACCGTGAACACCATCACCGTCACCAAAGCCATCGCCAGACCCGTCCTGCGGGGGCCCGAGGGGCTGCAACACGGCCCCCGCCCCTCCCCAGAGCCCCCGGCCCCTCCCCAGAGCCCGCGGCTCCTCCCCAGCGCCCGCGGCCCCCTCCCCACAGCCCGCGGCCCCCTCTCCGGAGCTCCCGCCCCCTCCCCAGAGCCCCCGCCCCTCCCCGGAGCCCCGCGCCTCGCCCGAGCGGGGACCCCCGGATCCCCGAGGCCCGCGGGGGAGGCCTGGGCCGGGCCGGGCGCGGCCGCCCTGACCCCGACCCGCTGCCCCGCCCAGCTCCGTCGTCGGCAGCCTGGAGTCCTGGTGGCCGAGGACTGCGGGATCCTGTACCTGAAGGGCGCCAGCCCAGCGCTGGATGCCGGCCTCGGCGGCTCAGGAAGCTGCCAGAGGACAGACAGGAGGCGCGGGAGCGGGCGCGGGAGCGGGCGGCTCTGCCCTCGGCCCGCCCGGCCCCTCAGCTGCCCTTGGCTTGTGGACGCGGCCCCCACGCCGCCCCTGCCGCCCTAAAATCTGTTTCTGGCCACCGCCTACCAAATCTGCTTTCTGTTCATCTCTGCCTCCTCCATTTCTAGCAGGTGGAGAAATGGGAGCTGGAAAACCTTCCGGGTCTGTTCTCTCCTGAGTTTTTTCTTTGGCTGTTCCAGCTGTTAGCATGGAGCCTTGCTCACCAACAGAAAACTCCCTTTTATGAAAATGCGAGCATGTAACTAAGTGGTTTATGCATTTTAGGATTTTCTGTCAGTTTTATAATTTTTTTGAAGAACGAATGATCTGTTTAATCATGGGAAACTATTGTTTCATAACTAAACTTTGAAATATGTATTTTGAGAACTTATATTTATACTTAATATATATTATATATTATATTGGCATTGATTAGCATTTTA